GTATAATCGCGTATCATCAGCATACTGATGATACCTCATCCCATGATGACGGATGATCTCGCCCAGCGGTTTCATGTAGATGTTAAAAAGTGGCAGAGAGAGAACCGAACCCTGTGGCATCCCACAAAGGAGGGGCCGGGGGTGGGAGCTCTCGCTCCCTATCACCACTGATTGGGATCGGCCCTGGAGAAAGGAGGTGAACCAGCACAGAACCTTGGTGCCCACCCCCAATTTCCTGAGCTGTCCCAAAAGGATACCATGGCTGACAATATCGAAAGCCGCTGAGAGAACAAGGAGAGCAAGAATGGTTGCACTTCCACCATCCTGCTCCCGCCAAAGATCATCCATAAGTGCGACCAATGCTGTTTCTGTTCCATAACCAGGCCTGAAACGTGACTGAAAAGGGTCCAGATAATCCGTTTCCTCCAGAACCCTTTGGAGCTGTGATGCCACCACTTTCTGTGGGAGACTCAGTGAAAATTGTCCAGTACCGTAGGATCCAGGGAGGGTTTCTTGAGGAGGGGGTGCACCAACACCTCCTTAAAGGCAGCCAGGAATACCCCCTCCTGCAAGGATGTATTAACCGTTACCTGAATCCAACCACATGTCATCTCCTGAGCTGCTTTCACCAGCCAGGAGGGTCATGGGTCAAGATGGCAAGTGGTGGCCTTCACCGTCCCCAGGATCCTGTCCATTTCCTCAGGATCAAGAGGATCAAACTGTTGCCAGGTAACTGGGTAAGAATGGTCCCCCGGTATCTCCCTAGACCCTGCCCCACTTGGAGTCCAACTTGGAACGAATCCGAGCGACTTTGTCCTGCAGATGCTCCAAAAATTCCTCCATGCAGCCCTACAAATGAATCACCACATCCCCCTCACCAAGGAGGGATCTAGTGATCCCGAACAGGGCCGCCGGGTGGCATTCTGCAGACATGATAAGGGCGGAGAAGTAATGACGCTTTGCCGCTCTTATTGCCACAATGTAGGCCTTGATAGCGGCTCTGACCTGTGTTCGGTCAGATTCAGTCTTCCTCCAGCGGCACTCTAGACGTCTCTTGACCCTCTTCAGGACCCTCAACTCCTCCGTAAACCACAGGGAGTGTCAGGGCCGATGTGGCAAGAGAGGTCACACAGGTGCGATCCTGTCCAAGGCCATAGCCACCTCTCTAGTCCAGGCAGCAGCCAAGGCCTCTGCTGGACCGTGCAGCAGATCCACGGGAATACCCCCAGCTTTGAAACCCCAACGGGTCAGGCGCCAGGGGCAGACCAGTCACATGGGTCCTGCCTCCCTGTGGAGGGGGGTACCATAGGAGAAACTCAGGGTCACCAGGACGTGATCTAACCATAACAAGGAGGAAAGCTGTAAATCTCCCCTCAGATCACTTTGCCATTGCTCCATCAAGAAGACCAAATCCAGCATGTGGCCACTGTCTTGGGTCAGGTCCTGCACAATCTGAAACAGGCCCATGCCCGCCATGGTGGCCAAGAACTCCTGAGCCACCTCCGAAGTCCATCCCAGGGACGGCAGGTTGAAGTCCCCCAGAACCATAAGTCTGGAGTACTCTACTGCCAGCCCCGAGATGGCCTCCAGCAGCTCAGGCAGGGAGGTTGCCACGCAGTAGGGAGGCTGGTACAGTAGCAGCACTCCCAACTGTTCACGGGAGCCCAACCTAAAGAGCAGTGTCTCACAGCTGGAAACTTGTGGAGCCATGCCCCTGAAGGCCACCAGAGCCTCTTGGATAACAACAGCTACCCCTCCTCCCCTGCCCTGGCATCTCGGCTGGTGCCACACCATGAACCCAGTTGGGCACATTTCTGAGAGGGGCACCCCCCCTTGGGCCCCAGCCAGTTCTCGGTAATGCATGCCAGGTCTGCCCCCTCCTTGGTTGATCAAGTCACATATGAGGGGGGGCTTGTTGTTAACTGACCTGGCATTCAGCAGCAGGAGCCTTACTTGATTGTGGCATTTTGTCCACCTAAGATACAGAGAATTCAAAGCCCATTCTACACCTCTATCATATCATCTTATGTGATAACACACATACAACTCCCCCAGTACATATTAAAAAGGCATTTTAATGGCTAGATTTTTTTTTAAAAAAGGGAAGAATATTGATCCAGAGCATATCATCACTCTTATGAAATTACAGCAAATAAACATACTACTTGCAACTGGAAATAAGAAACTGGGGGAAGGAATGAAGGTGTGTTTGCATAATATTGTAACACACAACTTTGGGTCAAAGATGACATTAGATTCAGGTCTTCAGCACATGAAAAAAAAACTCAGTTAAAGAGCAACAAGTAACAGAGCTAACACAGTGATGTATGCATTCATTAAATAGAAGTCACAGCCAAAGAATGGTATCTTTAGCCCCTTTTAGCTCTAGCTCTGCCCATTTATTTTAGCACGACCTACTAGTGGCATGCTAAATAGCCTCAAATTACAGAGGCACTTGACAGAAAAAAAGCTTGCCTACCCTGTAAAATAAACAATTCTGCTAACTTCTTATAAACTGTCCCTTCTTATTTAAAGATAATGAAATTCCAGTGACATCAGCTAGGGAGACAACTATCTATTCCAATAGAAGAGAATATGTAGCTTAGGGTTGAACTGTGGGGTCCTTGGTGCTCTCTGAGCTTGGTTGTTTGCTTGCAGAGGTTTAATAACCAAACTAGGTAACATCATCAGTGCAAGTGAGTGTGGAGTTTGCTCCCTGTTTATATATAGTAGCTTGCTCTGCCAGTTTGGGTGGGGGAGTGGTTTTCCCCTTGGTAATTCCTTGATTAGTAAATTGTTTCCTGCTTGGTTGTTTGTCTGGTGTTAATCCCTGCTTATCTGGGCGTTGGCTGCTGAAAAGGATGTGTTCTGGTCTTTTCATTTTCTTCTTAGCTGTTTTATTGTCTCTTTTGTATGGTGTGTAAGTCTAGTTTATTTCTATGTAACTATTGATGGCCGATTTGTCTGAATGCCAAACTTCCAGAAATTCCCTAATGTTTTTGGATTTAGCTTGATCTAGGATGCTCAGTTTCCCAGTTGAAACTGTGGTTAAATCTGTCCATGTGTTGTGAGATTAAGGTGGTTTCATTGTATATTCTGACTGCTAATTGGTGTTCATGGATGCCCTCTGCTAGTCTTCTGCCTGTCTGTCTGTCCTACATAGTGGCTGTTACAGCCCTTACACTATATGTTGTTGATGACTCCTGCTTTTTCTTCTTGAGCTACTGGGGCTTTACCCTTTTGGTTTAAGATGTTTTGGAGGGCTTTAGCTTGTGTGCTATGGTGATGCAGTGTGGTTGTAAGTGTCTGTTGGTTGTTTCTGAGATTTTTTTATGTAAGGTAGTGTTATCCCTTTGATAGCTTGTGTTGGTTGTGCTGTGGTGGTTGAGAGGTCAGGCACTTTTTGATAAAATTGCATGAGTATCCATTTTGTTGAAAGATGTTGTGTATGTGATCTGTTTCCTTTTTTGGTGTTCTGAGTTGCTGGACTGCATTTGTACTCATCTGAATAACATTCTTACACAGCTCCTCTTGTGGGACATTGG